GCTTCCAGAATGATTTATGCTGGGAAGCAAGACCCCATGGGATCCACTTCCTAAACTAGTGCCTCTGGAAACTCTACAAACTCAAAACTCTTCAAACTCTCTAAACTCTATAAATGTACTGAAATGATGTTAGTTACAAAACAGAGTTATTTACAGAAATCATGTTAGTTATAGAACAGGGTTCAGGTTTTTTGTGCAAAACTTACTCTCAGTCATATTTGACTTGACGACACTTAACCACTGCTAAATGAAACTAGTGCTGTTTATATCTGAAGGAACACTCTTTCACTTTGTAAATCACTCTGTCAATGTGCCCTATGAAGTAACCAGGGTTGCTGTGATGCTGAACCTTGTGCCATTGGGCTATCAAATACCAGAATGTTTTCCCAATATGGACAGTGTTTGGTGGAGCTTTCAGTTGTAAAACAGGTTGGGAAGCAGGAATGGCATCCACTTCCTAAACCTCTGGAAACTTTATGAACTCGAAATTGACAATAGTTACGGAAAGGCATTAGGTCTTTTGTTCATAGAGTTGCTATGAGTCGCATTTGACTCGACGACAATCAACAACAAGAACAACATATGTGCAAAACTGTGTGTGTGTGTGTGTATATACATATATATATGCAAAGATATATATATAGACATAAAAATACACAAATGTGTATGTGTGTATATGTCTGTGTAAAGGATTATGTATATACATATATACACACACATATATGTATTTATATAAAAAAGTGTGTGTATATATGCAAAAAGGGGTGTGTGTGTACACACACACACATATATATGCAAAGGTGTATATATATATATAGTATGTATATATGCAAAGGTATGTATGTATATGTGTGTGTATATATATACATGGAAAGGTGTGTGTATATTTATGAAAGGTATCTATATATGAAAAGGTGTGTATATGTGTGTGTGTATATATGGAAAAGTGTATATACATGTGTGTGCAAAGTTGTGTATACATGTGTGTAAGTATATAAAGGTTTATATATATAAATATAAATATGCAAACATATGTTTGGCAATATTTTCATGTTTCTAGGAGAGGATATTCCTTGGAAAAGGATATCATACTTGGAAGGGTGGAGGGTCTGTAAAAGAGAGGACGACAGCAACAGTAAATGTTTGGCAAATGGATGGTGACCTAGGCTGGGGCTAGAAGTTCTGAGTATTGTAAAGGGGCATACAAGGCTATATTAAATTTTTGTAAGGCCTTGACTACTAGAATCCAAGGTCGATCAGTTTGAACGCATTCAAAGACATCACAGAACAAAAGGATGTAAATCTACTTCTGTAAAGATGTGTTGTTGTTGTTGTTAGGTGTCATCAAGCTGAGTATGATTCATAGCTGTGCTATGAACATCTTGTATAGAGCTGGGCATTAGAGTAACTGAGTGAGTGAGTGAGCAAGTACCTCCAATACAATAGTGAATAAAGTGATGGAAGTGGACTCCTTGTCTGATCCCTGTTCACACAAAAAATGCTTTTTAGACTTTTTTCATTGAGAATGATATGGGTTCTTGGCTTTGCATATATACTTTCCATTGTGTTGAGGAAATTCCCATCTATTCCTGTTTTGCTGAATGTTTTAGTCAGGAAGGGGTGTTATATTTTGTTGAAGGTCTTTATATTAATTAATAGTAGCATTAATTATTAATAATAGTGGTTCTTGTTATTTGCTTTGTTATTATGATGAGTTATATTGATTTTTTAATTTATGTTGAACCATCCTTGCATATATGTTATGGATCCCACTTGGTCATGATGAATTACTTATTTGATTTGCTGTTGGCTTTTCTTGGCCAGGATTTTGTTAAGCATTTTTGCATCTGTATTAATTAAGAATATTTGTCTCTAGTTTTCTGTTTTGATAACATCTTTGCCTGGGTTATGCTTGCTTAACAGAATGTCTCTGAGAGTATTTCTCCTTTTTCTACTTTTAAAATAGTTTAAATAGAAATGATGATAAATCTCTGAATGTTTGGTAGAATTCAGCTATGGAACCATCTGCTCCAGGACTTTTTTGATGGGGACATCTTGTATAGGGTTTTTGTACAGCCATTTTATGACTTGCTTTTTATTACTTTTGTACAGGTTTGTATAGCATTTTGATGACTTTTTTAAAATGACTTGCTCAATTTCTTCATTTGTGAAGAGTCCATTCAAGTGTTGTAATCTCTTCATGTCAATCTGAGTAGAGCATTAGTTTCAAGGAATTTGTCCATTTCCTTTTAAGTTTTCAAATTTATCAGAGTATAGATTTTCATAGTATTCCAATGTTATAGATTTAATTTCATCTGGTACTTTTGTGATGCCACTTCTATAATTTCTTAATCAAGGTTTTTGTGTGTCTTCTCTTTTTTTTGTTAAGTTTACCAATAGTTTGTCAATTTTATTGACCCTTTTGAAGAACCAGCTCTTGTTCTTATTCGTGGTTTCAATTAAGGTAAAAGACTTACTTCATTTTTAAATTGTTTGCTTATTGCCATGACCTGCCCTCTGAGGACTGCCTTAGCTATAACCAAATTTGCCTTTCCTAAAGTCCTTCAGGTCCTCTTTGGCCTGCAATGCAGCCCTGTGGGAATCTTTTCTTCTTGCAGCCTCTTTTCCTAAAGTGTATTGTCTTCTTTTGTCTGTGGAGTGACACATGACCAAGTGTTCCAACTTAAGCAGTTTCTGTCCAGGGAGACTATAAAAGCAGCTCCCTCTCTGACACTTCAGCATGAAAGCTCTACAAGTGAGTCAGTCTTTCACCTGATTGCAACCTCCTGTCTCAAACTCTATAGTCCTCTTTGGCCCCTGGGATATCCCTGCAACAGTAATTCCCAAATGGAGTAGACTTTCTCCAAGAGAGTTTCAGGTTCTTCCCTCCCCAACACCTGAAAGTATTGGGTCTGGGATTGAGTCTCTTACCTAACTGCAGTCTCCTCTCCTTATAAGTCCATTGTCCTCCTCTCTCTGCAGACCTATCATTACTTTTATGGAATTTGGGTTTATGATGCATAGAAAAATAACTTTACTCTGAAATTATAAAGTAGAAAGTTATGAAAAGGATTAGTAGTCATTTTGCTCCTATAAGCAAATAATGACAAGTTCTGCTTCATACAAAGTAAATAACAAAGTAAAAAAATAGACACAAATTGTGAAAAATTATAACATAAACCAGGTGGTACCCTTTTAATATATAAATAATTCCTTCAAATAAATGAAAAAACATCATCACACTAATGGAAAAATGTGGTATAAACTACAAAACTGCTTATGACAAAAGTATCATGAATAGATCAAATATAACTTACTTTTAACAAAATAATGCAAATTGAAAGTGTAATGACTTCCCTCCCCACCCCTTGGCAAAGATCAAAAAAGATAGCAACATGTGAGGATTTTAGCAACTTAGTAATAACTAGTAAAATTAAAAATTGTCTACTCTTTGCATGGGTAAAGATTCACTCTTATTTAAATGATATTGAGCCTGAACAGTAAGCAAATAATTTAAGAAATTCCCACAGGGATTTATAGTTGTACAGGGATATGATAAACTACAACCTTAGCCTGAGAACTGCTTTCCTTGTATATCTAACTCGGGTTTTTATGCTGTTGGATGACAGACTTGGAATAAACCATAAATATGGTTGCAAGACACTAAAAATGATTTACCTTTTATTTCAGCAAATCTCCAATTCCAATAGTTTATGCTACAGGTACATATGTTCAAATATTTATTTGTAAAGAAATCTATCGTAACACTATCAATTATATTTAGAAATTGTAAATAACTTATTACGTGACAAAATATTAGTGTATGTTAAATTATTTTACTATATATTGTGATTATTTGACATATGCTGTTGAGTATACCACAGACTGTCAAGAGAAAAAAAGCAATATGTTTTAGTATATTCAAAGCTAGTAGATTCAGGACTGGCGAATTCTAGTAGCCCAACTCATAACCCACCATGATAATAGAACAATTTTTATACCTTGGATTATTATTATTAGATGCTGTTGAGATGATTACAACTCACAGCAATCTATGAACAGCAGATCAAAACCTTGTTCCATCCTACACTAGCCCATGCTTATGCCCATTATTGCAAACCTTGTGTCTATCCATTTTGCTGAAGGTCATCCTCTCTTTTGCTGACCCTCTACATTTCCCAATATAATGTGTTTTTTCAAGGACTGGCCCTTCCTTGACAACATGCTCGAAGAATATGAGACAAAGTTTCAACATCCTTGTCTCTAAGGATCAGCCCAGGGTTTATTCCCTGTGGAAAACATAGGTGGCTTGGGAGGAGCAGGACGGCTGAACAGTACTGAGGATTAGCGGGTACCCAGAGCTTTCTCTCAGGTGAAAAGTCTTAGTTAGGCTATGGAGTTCTCTCAAGTAGCAGCCTGGGCTGTGAAAGCAAAAAGAAGAGGGAGAGGTCATCAGAACCAGGCAGATTCACGGGAGGTACAGAGACTGAGACTGTTAAAGGGAGTGTGGCTGATGAATGGAAGTGGAAAGAAGTGAAGACAAGATAAAAAAAATGACGTATCAGCTGTGTGAGATTAGAGTGGTGGAGACCCTGAAAAATAAGTGTAACAAGAATGAGAGAAGAGAGGACTCAAACATAGTATTTTGTGACTGGAGCAGGAGGGCAATTCAGAATTTGAGATTTTATGGGATTATTTTATCTGGTTTTACAGAAAGTATTGTTTAAAAGTTGATCTAGAATTAGTACCCCAACTGCTTTCTTTATTACAGATCAGGAACAGTATGCTCAGGGCTTGAGTGAAATTTTACTTTTTTGTCTGAGAGTGTTGTTAAAGTTATATAATATTGATAGAGTGAATTGAAAGTGTCATACAAGTGTTGAGGGAAAACATGTTTTAACAGAAACACAGCAGGTCTCAGTCAGTTTCTGGTCAGTTTTTCTATCATAGAAAAAAAATATCAGTTCAATGATTTATTTTTCTTTGCTTTGCTTTCACAGGTAAAGCCAGTAATCCATAGCAGGATCAATGTGTCAGCTCGCTTTAGAAAACCGCTCCAGGAGCCCTGCACCATCTTGTAAGTTGAAGTTTAAGTTTGGAGTTGAAATTGACTTGGTGGTTTTCTTTTGCTTTGAGATTTGTTTTAACATCTTAAAGGCATAACTATTTCAAATGATCCAGCTGGCTTACTTTGCTTTTTTCCACCACCAGCTTGATTGCAAATGGAGACCTCATAAGCCCAGCGTCTCGTCTCCTTATCCCAAGAAAAGCCTTGAATCAGTGGGATCATGTACTACAAATGGTCACAGAGAAAATAACTCTGAGGAGTGGGGCCGTCCATAGGTATGCTAAAATTAAAAAAAATCTTGTAAGTGTATGGGCTTTGAAAGAGGCTTGAAGATATTTCCAGGAAACTCTAGTGTCACTTGTTCTTAGATTTGAATTCCAATCCATCAGCCGGACTCTTTATGCCTCAGTTTCCTTATCTGTAAAACAGATATGTAACAATACCTAAAGGACTTTTTAAAGCAATGAACTAATCCATCTAATAAGTTTAAAATAGTCCTTGATAAATTGTGATATTTAAATATCATTAGGGATCAGCAAATATTAACTATTATTTTGATTTAAAGTAAAGGGACAAGAGTTAGAATTTTTTAGTTGAGATTTTATGTTTTTAGAGCATCAGCTTCTTAGATCTTAGTGTAAGTAGACATTTATGATTAGTTGAGGGGTTAAAACTATTTTCCTGGAATTAAAAACCCTAGATACCAGGAAGTGTTCGTATGTTTAAGGAAGATACTAGAGAGTGATGATTTTAAGTGAGGTTATCTAAATTTGAGTCATAGAAAGCATTTTTCTAAGGCTCTATAATTCAATAAAATAGTAAAATTAAGGCTTTTAAATTATAAAATCTGTGATATCATTCCTTTATAAAGCCCAATTTGTTTATTTGTGTTTATGTCAGAAGGTTACATACCAATATATTAAGATTATCTATGCAATATACATGCAGAATATTTGAAATTTGCCCAAGAGTTGTTTGGGTTTTGGTGGTTTTTTTTAAGTTCTTGAATCCTATCTTCACCTTAGTCTCCATTGTACTCAACTTGTGCATTACTACTTTCAAGTTCTTATGTAATTCCTAGGTAGGGTAAATTTTCAGCTTCTTAGCTGCTAATTGATATATAGGCAGCTCAGTTCTACCTAGGAGTCCCTCCAAAGAAAGACCTGGAAATAACTTACTTTTGAAAAATCAGCCATTGAAAACTCTGTGGAGCACATTTATACTCTGACAATCATATCTGTTTTATATACAGAGATCTCTGGTGGCTTAGTGAAAAGGAATTGCATTGTCAATGCAAAGATACATGGTTCAAATCCACCAACTGCTCTGTGGGAGAAAAAAAATAGCAGTCTCCTCCTGTGTGATTTATTGTCTCTGAAAACCAGCTGTGGGTCTGTTTTGACTCAATGGTGCTTCACAACAATAACAACAATTTTGCATACATGTGTATTTTTTAGAAAACACACACACTCACAGAGTACAGAGTTCTGGTGGTTTAGTGCATTGTGTATTGCGTTGCTTGACAAAAGGTTAGCCATACAAATCCGTCATCTAGTCCGCAGGACAAAGAGTGTCAATATTCCCCCTTCTCTCTGGAAAAGAAGATGGAGAATTACTATGGTTACTATGAGTCATAATTGATTCAACAGCATTGGGTTTGTATATATAATATATATGTATATATATTACTTAGGGTAAGGAATTGTACTGCTCACCCAAAGGCACACAGTTCAAATCCACCAGCTGCTCCATGACAGAAATATAGGCAATCAAATAGAAGCAATAAAAATACAAAGTATGTGCTTTATTGTCTCTGAACATATGCTGGTGGGTCAGTTATGAGCCAGTTCTGACTCAGAATACAACATATACATATAGACTACATGATGTCTTTCAGTTATATGTATTTTCATATATATATTAGTATCAGTAATTAGTATCAATAATAATTAATATCACTTTCATAGGTATAGGGATTTTAAATATTATTTGGCATTTCAGTTGGAATATTTGCCTGTGGTACAAAAACAAACAAACAAACCCACAAAAAACCAAAACTCACATAGGGCAGAAAAAAGTATTTCTTCAATCCCAGGCCCTGCAACCCTTCCTGTAGTACTTTTTTGATATTATTCCAAAAGAAATCTAAGCATATACATTCACATACATTTGATTTGTTAAAATCGAATTGGCAAAGCATTAATTTTTCCTATAACACCATACTTTTTCCTTATAATAACACATCTTGGAGATTAATCTTAATACTAATGGTTCTGTATGATTATAATGGCTATGCAACATTCTATTTTAAACAGATGACACAACTTTCCTTGCCAAAAGTGAAGAAGACTTGAGAAACTTATTTAAGAAGATCAAGGATTATAACATTCAAAATAAATTCTATCTCAACCTCAAAAAAAAAAAATCCACACCACTGGACTGATAGGCAGGCAATGTCATGATAAACGGAGATAAGATTGAAATTGTCAAGAATTTCCTTTTACTTGGATTCACTATCAATTCCGATGGCAACAGCAGTAAAGAAAAAAAAATGGGATTTTTTAAATAATAAAGAGCCAAGATTTCACTTTAAAGACTTTGGTGTGCCTTATCCAGGCTATATTTTCAACAGCTTGGTATGCATTGGAAAATTTGATAATGACAAAAGAAGAATCGGTATCTCTGAAGTATGGTGTGGGAATACAGAATATTTCATAGACTGCCTAAAGGAAAAGGAAATCTGTCCTGGAGGGAAGCATATCTAGGGTGCACCTTAGAAGCATGAGCATGAAACTTTGTCTCACGTACCTTGAGCATATTATCAAAATGGACCAGTCCTTAGAAACATAAATCATGCTAGAAAAGGTCAAGGGTCAGCAAAAGAGATGATGACATTCAATGAGATAGATTGATACTAATTTTAACAATGAGCACTCGCATGGCAGAGATTGTGAAGATATTGTAGAATTGGGCAAAGTTCAGGTCTGTTGTTCATAAGGTTGCTGGGACCTAACAACATCATATAGCATTTAATTTTTTGTTTGCACCTAATTTGTTTTAACCACCTCCTTTTGATGGAAATTTAGGAAAGTTTTAATCTTTTCCCATTACATGTTTATGTTTTTGTATGTAAAGTTTATCAGGAGGTGATAATCTAGAAATTGAATGCTGTGTCAGGATGTATTATATGCAGCTTAAAATACGATAAATTTTTCTACTTGTCTTCCAATGAGATTGTATTATTCACATTATCATTTAAAATGTCTATTGTTGTTACATGTTGTTGAATCTTCAAAGAACAATGGATATGAGTCTTACTCTGTTTTGGGCTATCCTCATTGTTTTTGATATACTTGAACATGTTTTTACACTCATTGTGTCAATCCATCTTGTTGAGGATCTTTCTTTCTGTCATTGACCGTCTGCCTTTCTAAGCATGATGTCCTTCTCAGGGATAAGCACCTCCTAAAAATATACCCAAACTATGTGAGATGAAGCTTCACCATCCTTGCCTCTAAGGAATGCCCTTCCTGTACTTTCTCCAAGGTTTGTTCTTTTGGAAGTCCAAAGGGTATTCAGTACTTTTTCCTAACGCCATTACTCAAAGGCATTGATTCTTCTGTTATCCTTAGTTATTGTCTAACTTTAGATGCATAACAAGTAATTGAAAAGACCATGGCTTGAATCAAGTGCGTCTTTACTCTGCCATTGTGCTACTTAACACCCTAGAAAGGTCTTTGACAGAAATTTTACCCAATGCAAGATGTCATTTGATTTCTTAATTGCTAGTGCCAATGACCACAAGGCAAAATAATGATAAAAGGAGAAAAGATTGGTATCCTTGGTACCAGCAGTCAGGTGATCAGGAGATGTATTGCATTAGGCAAGTCTGTTGTGAGGGACCAATCTACATTTCTGAGGATCAATGATATAAATTTGAAGACTAAGGTGCATCTGATTCAGGTGATGGCCTTTTTCAGTCGTTGGCTATGCATCTGAGACCTGGGTAGTGAATAAGCATTACAGAAGAATTGATGTCTTTGCGTTGTGGTGTTGAAAAAGAGTACTGAATACCCCAAAGACTGCCAAGAGAACAAACAAATGTTTCTTGGAGAAAATACAGGCAGGGTGCTCCTTAGAGGCAAGGATGGTTTGGGGCATGCTGTTAGGTTAAGATTATTCCTTGGAGAGGGACATTATGTTTAGAAAGGTGGATGATCAGCAAAAGAGAAGACCCTTGACAAGAAAGATTAACACAGTGACTTTAGCAACGAATGCATGTGTGTAGGAGATCATAAGGATGACACAGAGTTCATATTTTTTTGTTTAAAGGGCCGCTATGAGTCATACTCAACTCAGTGGCACCTAACAACAACAACTGTGCCAATGATGCTGTTTGTGGATCCAAGCAATATTACATCACTGACAACTTCAATTTTCTATCTATCATAATATTGCCTACTGGCCCATTAATGAAGAATTTCATCTGAGGGTGTTTGTTTATTCATTATCTCATATATAAAGAGTGCTTTAAAAATTGCACTCATTTTGCATAAAATAGGATATCAGATCTGACATCAACTATAATATCCCTAGTGCCACGGCCTCTTCTAAATCCAGCTTGTACTTCAGGCAGTTCTCTGTTGATGTAATAACAAAATCTAATTGTCTCTGTTTCACGTATAATTTCAAGTTGTTTCCATGCAAACTTATTTAATCAGCAAAATAATGGTATAAGACTATTGTTATATGCCATTGAGTCACCTATGACTCATAGTGACCTTATGTATAACAGCTCTGAAGCCTGCCCTATCCTGAGCCAGTCTCACTGACTCCGACACTTCTACCCCCATTACCCTAGTTACTGTTTCTCATCATTTTTAATGGTCATGAAACACAGAGAGGGAAATTTACTTGCCCATGATTATACACATAATGAGTAGCAATGCTGGAATTGCCTAGCAAGCAACCTAACTGTAGAAGCTATTCTCTTAACTATTAAGCTATTCTTTGTAAATGTCACAGATTTAATTTATTTTATTCTGTTTATACTTTGTCATAGCTTTTGCATACTGTCTTACTGATTTATAACCATTCTTCACATATTTAGGAGATTGACTTATCTTAGTTTTAAGTACACTTTAAGTTAGTTTTCTTAATACTATTTCTTCTTTACAAGCTGATATTTTGAATTTTGAAGCAGTCACATTAATCAGTTTTCCATTAGGGTTGTTAAATTTTATAATGAGTTCAAGTCTTTATTGCTCTGATATTATAGATGTATTCTCCCATGTTTTCATCTTATACTTTAAAATTTCATTTAAATTTTTTATCTTCCTAGATTTTATGTTGGTGTTAGGAGTAAAAGCGGTTAGTGATATTTATACATACAATGATATATGGATTGGTCTTTTTATACACACGTACAACAAACAAATTATTCATCACTGTTGAGTTGGAACTGAAGATTGCATAAGAGAAGATTGCCCATCTTTCTCCCACAAGAGCAACTGTTGTTATGTGCCATCAAGTCACCTGAGACTCATAGCGATCCTATGTACTGCAGCCCTAAACCCTGCTCTATCCTGTGCCAAAAGTATTGTTTCTATTGTCTCTGATACACCTACCCTTGTTACCCTAGTCACTAAATCGATCCATCTCATCAAGGGTCTTTCTTTCTTGCACTCTCCCACCACTCTCCCTCAACTCTCCCAAGCAAAACATCCCTTTCCAAGGACTGGTCCCTCCTTGCATCATGTCCAAAGTATGTCAGATGAAGCTTCAGAATTCTTACCTCCAAGAAGAAGCCTGGTCTCACCCTCTCTACCAAGAACCTGTTTTTCTCCTAGCAGTCCATTCAATACTCTTCTCCAGCATCAAAGTTCAAAGGCAACAATTCTCCTACTATCATCTCTAGTTGTCCAGCTTTCTGATGCATAGCAAGTAATTGCAAAGGCTATGGCCTGGATCAGGCACACTTTTGTCTCCAGATTGACATCATTGCTCTTCAGTATTTTAGAGAGGTCTCTGACAGCAGACTTTTCCAAAGCAATTCAACTTTTAATTTCCTGGCTGCTGGTACCAAGAGTGTTGATTGCAGAGCCAAGCAAACAGAAGCTGTCAACAATCTCAATCTCGTCACCATCTATCATGATGCTGCCTGTTGGCCCAGTGGTGAGAATCTTTGTTTTCTTGATGTTGAACTTCAATCCATATTGAAGGCTGTAGTCCTTGACCTTCTGAAGCAAACATTTCAGGTCTTCCTCAGTTTCAGCAATCAGGGTAGTGTCATTTGCATAATGCAGATTGTTGATGTGTTTACCTCCAATCCTGATGCCTCATGTCTCCTCATAGAGTCCAGCCTCCTGGATAATCTGTTGCACATACAAATTGAAAAGTTACGGAGATAGGACACATCCCTGGTGTATATCCTTCCCAATTTTGATCCATGCAGTGTTTCCTTGCTTTGTTCTGACTATTGCCTCCTGGTCCAAGTATAGGTTTCACCCAAGTACAATCAAGTATTCTAGGATTCCCATTCTTCTAAGAGAAACTAGTGGAGTTAAAAAAAAAGTCTTGCCATTGAGTTAACAGTACCACTAGGCTTTATTCACTAGGCTGCTAGAAACCAATATAGATATAAATAGTATTAAACATACAAAGCACATATACAAAATTATAAACTCTATTATATCTATTCAGTTGTATATCCATACAGAAAATTTATGCTTCATGTTAACTCATTGCCTTTGAGATGGAAATGACTCATAGTTAACCCTCTAGTGAGTTTTTGATAATGTTTACTACACAAGAGGGGAATGCCCATCTTTCTCCCTTAGAGCTATTGATAGATTCAAACCACCAGAGATTCATGGCCATTGGGTTAGCTGCTCAAACCTCTGTGCAAATAAAAGTATGCAAGTAAAATACAAAGAATGAAATATAATAATAAAAAATAAATGCTATATATTATATAAAATAATATATATAATATATTACACCTTGTTTTTCTTGTTATATACTGTTGAGTTGTAATATACTCATAGCTAAACCTCCTGTGGCTTTTCAGAGACAGTAAATCATATTGGAGGACATTGCTCATCCATCTCCTACAGAGCAGGTAGTGGATTTGAACAGTGTGCCTTTGTGTTGACAACACAACTCCTTATCACTAAGCCAACAACAGAAAGAATAGAATAATATATTTCTAAAGCAGTTAACATGCTTAGAAAAATGCAATTCTGAATATGAGTGAGATTTGGCTGCTTTTCATGAACAATATGTGAGTTTTTTCCTAACAGCATTATTGACTCGTGTCTGAATTAGCATACCAAAACATCAAAGAAGATTCTTAAAGAGCAGCTTAATCCCTTTCTGATGTATACTTATTTTGTAAGCAGAGGAAGAAAGCAGGGCAACATGACCTAGATTGACTGAAAAAAAGGCTAATTTCATGGATTAGAATTTACCCCATAACTTCTTCCTATTTGCTGAGGAAAGCAGCTAAACTAGTTAAGAGTCCATGGATTAAAATCCTTCTAATTTCTACATTATCTGCTGATAATTATTTATAATAACCAGGGACAATTTAGTAGGTACAGACCAAGAATGCTGTTCAACATTCCACAGTGCTTTGGGGTAGCCCCCTTTCATTCCTCCATCAGTCTCTGTCACTGACATTATTTGGCACCACTTATAACTGACCCTTCAGTGGGTTTCCAAGACTATAGAAGGAAAGGAATGAGATCATCTGTCTTACTTCCTTGGAGCCGCTGGTGGATTCAAATTGTCTTTGGGGTAGCAGTAAAACTCCTTATGCATCATGTCACCAGAGTTATAGCTTGTCTACATTAGAACAGGAAAATTATAGATCTCAGTTAATTGTTTATACTTAGACTTGTGGTATAAAAATAAGATGTTAAAAGGAAAGGGATTTTTACCTACACACTAACTATAAGCACATTTCAGAGAATTGGCTGAGGGATTGTTTTCATTATACTTCATCTTTCTAAATGACACAGTCATATAGAAAATAAGTAAAAACACTAACAAAGCAATGAATTACTTCATTGTAATCATTATTAATATCTATTATATAATTTAGAAAATTTGTGATTTTTTAAAATAATTGCATTCAAGTTTTTCTAGTTACTCTTATTTATAAACTTCAATAATATGCATTCTCTTTCTATTTTAGTTTTCACCCTGCTTTGTCCCCTAGTCTTAAAAAAAAAAAATAAAAGCAGACACTTTAAATCATGTAGTAAAATCATCACTGTTCTTTTAATAAGTTATGCATTAGTTGTATTTTGGAGCAGCAGTTTTACCGTAAAGGGAGGTTCTTATGAAATCACCTTGATTCTTGGAAGATATAATGTTCAGACTCTTGCTTATAAGGGAGGGCAAAAAAAGAAAGAAGCATGAATGCTATGTGGTTCTACATCATTAATTCTGGCAATGGCTTCTTTCCTCTCCTGCCCTCTCACCTCTTTTTTCCTGACCCAGATCTGTGTTTGTTTGGATGTAATATTTTTGCTGCAGCCTCTTCTGGCACAGGAAGTGGTTAGAGGCTTTGGTAGCCTAATAAACAAGTGAAGGAAGCATTTTTTAAAGTACTCACAAAACATAAATAGAAGGATCAGTCTTCAACAGAAGCCGAGCTTTATGTAATGCACCCAAAACTGTAAAAGTCAATGTTTTTCCATCTAAAAATTTAGTGTGACAATAATAAAAAAAAAATTTCTCATTTTCCAGTTGATTCTAACTCATAAAGTGATCCTTTTAGGACAAAGTCTTAGTTTCTACAAAAGCAGTTTGCCTTTATCTTCCATGGTTTCAAACCACCAACCTTTAAGTTAGCAATCAAGCACTTTAACCACTTTGCCATCCCTATAAGGATTCTTATATTCCATAATCAGCTCATTGGAGTGAAACTCTATTGTTGTTTATGGTTGAATTGGAACTGACCCATAGTTGACTCTCTGGTGAGTTTTCAGAGGCAGTTAATTGCACGGGAGGAGATTGCCCGTCCTTCTCCCATGGAACGGCTGGTGGCCCTCAAACTGGTGCCTTCAGGATTTCAGCACAGCTTTTTGCCACTTGGCCACCAGAACTCCCTGAAATACTATACAGACAGATGTTAACTGGCTTTATATTATTACACTGGAATTTATTTGAATGTAAAGACTTTGAGACATTTACAATGCAATAATTAGAGTAGCAACAACTGAACCAAATTAAGAACAGAATACTTTTATTTACTTCGCAGTTTTAAATATCTATACAAAATACCGGTGAAGATTCTAATTGTTGGCATTAATACTTTTTCAAATTTTTTTTTTTTACAGACTTTATACTTTAGAAGGAAAACTTGTTGAAAGTGGCTCAGAATTAGAGAATGGGCAGTTTTATGTAGCTGTTGGCAGAGATAAGTTTAAGAAAATGCCTTATAGCGAATTACTTTTTGACAAGTCAACAATCAGAAGGCCTTATGGGTAAGTGTTTTTTCTTTTCTACTCTTCATGATCCAGCTATTGGTTGAAATCAAATTGGATCTTTTGCATTTCAGTTGGGTTTTGAACTGAGTCTTTTCCAAATAGTACAACTTTCTGTAAAGTAGGTTATTATAATCTTTTTTTGGTGACAATGGCTAGTTTTAAGACTCCTTGAATATCTGTCATCTTATGACAGAGAATTTATGAAAAATGATATATTTTTAGTACAAACACCATCTACAATAACTATAGAGATTTATTCTTATGAAAGGGAGACAGAAAACACTGTGTTCCCATTCTTGTTGTTGAGTACCACAGAGTCAGAACTGACCCAGAGCTGACCCTCTGGTGGGTTTTCAGAGGCAAATAATCACACAGGAGGAGATTGCGCACCCTTCTGCAGAGTAGCTGGTGGCCTCAAACCCCATACCTTTTGGGATTGCAACATAGCTTCTTGCCACTAGGCTGCCAGAGCTCTCTTTGTGCTCCCATAGAACATATGTTATGAAAAGTTGTAATAGTATTGTTTAGCTAAACCAAATTATTTTTTCAGGTGGTTCAGATAAGAACACACAAAAATAATCAACTAAACACATGCTATTTCCTACTCTTTTATGACTCTGCGGTCTTAAAACAGTATAATGGTACATATGTAAATAGAAGCACCAAAAGTACATTTAGATACTATGATTTTTAAGGACATACAGTAAATTGTGAAAACTTCTCTTTAAAGTGTCATCTATTTGGGAAAGATGCTTTATTTCAGCCTAGTCCATCACGGTGGAGGTATGATGAGGGGCTCTGTCTCCTGGTGGATGCAGAGTTCTGGGCTCACTCTTTATATCCTGCAGTTAATTTCTGCTGAATTTCAGGAAGTTGTGTTGCTAACCCAGAGGTAGTTCAAATTCACCAAGTTTCACAGGAGAATGATGGACAACCTCATCCTGTATAATTTATAGCCTCTGAAGATCCACTGGAAGTTAAGTCCATTCTGATTCCATGGCTATGACTTAGATGCAAACTATGGTCACCATGGCAATGACTTTGATGCAAACTATAGTCACTGGGATTTTGGAACCAACATTCTGTCATTGTTTGGTGAGAGATGTAATACTTGCAGAAAGTCAATAATTTGTTCTCCATTGATCCATGATATATGTAATTTTCCCCATTTTTTAAAAAATAATATTTTTTGATGAAAGTTTACACGGCAAGTTACGTTCCTATCTGATAATTTTCTCACAGATTATTTCATTACATTTGTCACAGATAACCCTTTCTTTAACTGCATTTTGTTTGCTCCCTTTTTACTACTCTAGTTTACCTATTATCATCTTTTTATCTTTGCTTTTGAGTAACTGTTGATCTTGTGGTCTTCAGCAGGACATTGTTCTTATATTTACAATTCATTATGTTTGTGTGCTCATTTGCCAAAAAAAGTTTTATTGCTAAAAGTTAGTATCAGAAAATTGGCTTGGTTCTAAGTTTAAAGGGTATCACAGGTTGACAGTCCCAGAGAATTCTCTGTTCCCTACTATTTCAGCTTGTCTTACTTAAGTTTGTTTGTTTAAAAAATATGAATTCTGCTCCATTTTTTCTCTCCTTTCTATCTGGAACCAACTACTGTGATTTCAAATAGAATAGTCATTGGTGATAGTTAGGGACCATCCAGTTCTGCTCTCAAGGTAAGTGAAGTTAGATTGTATCTCCTGCCTACTTGTAGCTCCTGGCTACTTGTGTCATCTTGGTTGACTTCTTACTGTCTTCTTTCTGGCATAATTAAGTCTTAGGTGTCTCTTGGAAAACATTTAAGCCCCTATACACTACTACTTCATAAGATTATAATTCTGATTTCTGTGAAATTTATGCGACTTAACAGAATTGTTAATTGACTGTGGTCCTAAAACTTAAAATCTAGAAAACAAGTGTAGGAAGGTATTTTATTTCAGAATGATCTTGTTATCTGTGTTTTCAAAGACTAAGAATGGTAATCCCAAAACACTTGATTGTGCTTATGTGAAGCCTATTCTTGGACCAGGAAGTAGTCGTCAGAACAGAGCAAGGAAACATTTCATGGTTCAAAATTGGGAAGGGTGTATGTCAGGGATGCATCCTATCTCTATACCTTTTCAATCTATATTCAGAACAGATTATCTGGGAGGCTGGGCTCTATGAGGAGAAATGTGGCTTCAGGATTGGAGGTAGACTCATCAACAATCTGTGTTATGCAGATGACACAACTCTTCTTGCTGAAACTGAGGAGACCATGAAGGACTTGCTGCAGAAGGTCAAGGACTGCAGCCGTAAATATAGATTGAAGTTCTGCATCAAGAAAACAAAGATTCTCATCACTGGGATGATTGGAAGCATCATAATGGATGGTGATGAGATTGAGATTGTTGACAGCTTCTGTTTGCTTGGCTCCACAATCAACACTCTTGGTACCAGCATCCATGAAATTAAAAGTTGAATTGCATTGGAAAAGTCTCCTGTCAGAGACTGCTCCAAAATATTGAAGAGCAATGATGTCAGTCTGGAAAGTAAAGTATGCCTGATCCAGGCCATAGACTTTGCAATTACTTGCTATGCATCAGAGAGCTGGACAATTACTAGGAATGATAGGATAATTGATGCCTTTGAGCTGTGGTGCTGGAGAATAATATTGAACATACCATGGACTACTAGGAGAACAAACTGGTTCATCATAGAGAGGGTGATCCCAGGCTTCTCCTTGGAGGCGATGATTCTGGGGCTTCATCTGACATACTCTGTACATGTTGCAAGGCAGGACCACTACTTGGAGAAGGACGTTGTGCTTAGGAGGGTGGAGAGACAGTGCAAGAGAGGAAGACCTTCAATGAGATGGATTGATTCAGTGACTGGGGTAATGGGAGTAGGTGTGTCAGAGACAATACGTTTGGTACAGGATACAGCAGGGTTTAGGTCTGGTGTACACAGGGTCGCTGTTAGTCTCAAGCAACTCAATATCATATAACAAGTATGCAGAATCACTATGAACACAGATGTCTTTCAATGTTTGTAATTCTCTTACTTTCTTATAGAAATGTTTTATAATTTGTATCGTGTAAATCTCTTATTCCCTGGATAAGTTGAATTCTAGGTTTTCTTCAGTAAACCAGGTAAATCAGGATGGGTGTGTCAGAGGCAGTGCGATGGACACAGGATAGAGCAGGGTTTAGGGCTGTTGTACATAGGGTCACTATAAGTCACAAGTGACTCGACGGCACCTAACAACATAACAACAATGTGAACAATGTGGTGAATTATGTTGATTGTTTTTCTTATATTGAACCATTCTTGCATACCTGTTATGAATACCACTCGACCATGATGAATTAATTTTTTGGTGTGCTTTTGGACTCTATTGGCTAGGACTTTTGTGTCTATATTCAAGAGAGCTATTGGTCCATATTTTGCTTTCTTGATATTATGTTTGGCTGGTTTTGGCATTAGAGCTATCCTTGCTTCATAGGATGACTCTGAGAGTGTTCCATCTTTTTATTTTTTTTTAATACTTAAAGTAGAATTGGTGACAGATATTCTCTGAGTGTTTGGTACAATTCAGCTGTGAAGCCACCTGGTCTATAATTTTCTTAAGTGGAAATATTTTTATGATCTGTTCAATTTCTTCTTTTGTGATGGATCTGTTCAAGGGTTATATGTCTGTGAGAATTCAATTCAGCATAGTATTCCATTGTGTGACTATACCACAGCTTCTCTATCCATTTGTTTGTTGATGGGCACTTAGGTTGTTTCAAACTTCTTGCTATTGTGAACCAAGCAGCAATAAACATGGGTGTCTATATATCTGCTTTGATGTCAGTTATGGTCTCTCTGGGGTATATTCCCAGTAGTGGAATTGCTGGGTCAAACGGTATCTCTATTTGCAACTTTTTGAGAAAGCGCCACACTGCCTTCCACAGGGGTTGCACCATTTTACACTCCCACCAACAGTAAATAAGGGTTCCTGTTTCTCCACAACCTCGGTAGCATTTGTTGCTTGCTGTTCTGTTAAATTTTGCTATTTTGTCTGGGGTGAGATGACATCTCATAGTTGTTTTAGTTTGCATCTGTCTTAGAGCTAGGGATTTTGAACATTTCTTCATGTGCTTGTTAGCCATCTAAATGTCTTCTTTGGTGAAGTGTCTGTTCATATCCTGTGCCCATTTTTCTATTGGATTATTTATCTTTATCTTATTGTGGTGTAAATGGCTACTTTTTTTTTACATTATGTGAATCTTTTCTTAGTAGATGTTAGGTTGTTGTAACTATATAATATCCCAGGATATGGGAATATTATGCAAAAGGCCTGTATATTGGTGCTCCCCCCGCTGGTTTTCCAGATGTTTGATGAATGTTGCCCTCTAGAAATCATGGGTACACCTGACCACATCTTCTTTACTTTAAGAAATTCCACATGATATACCTACACAGCAGTGTTCAATGCCAAAATACTTTTCTTCTCTACTCTGTGAGACAGTTCAGTTGAATTGCCTTCAGTTTATTCTTGTACTAGTTGCAGGTGATGTTCTGACAGGATTTTGGATGTTGGTGATCTTCCTTATGGAAAGAGACCAATATGGTGGCGGGAGGCAAGATCTCTGTATTTCTAAGCTGAAGGAACTGAAGAACAAATTCAGGCCTAAGTTGCAATACTTAAGGATTCTGTGGACAGAATATGGAATGATAAGGAAGCATCAAAAGAAAATGGAAGAAGTACACATACCAAAAAGAATTGGCATAGAAGAATTTCAAGATTCAACATATGATCAACAGGCAATGGTGATTAATGAGAAAATTCAAGTTGCTCTGAAGGAATTCGCGGAAAAACAAAGCCTCAGGAATTGACGGAATAGTAATTAGCATATTTTAACAAACAGATACAGCCCTGGATGTGCTCACCATGTTGTGACAAAAACTCTGGGGGACAACTACTGGTCCAACTGCCGGGAAGAGATCCATATTTATTTCCACCTCAAAAAAAAAGTGATCTGACAAGTGTGTGGGAATGATCAAGCAATTATCACTCGTATCACATGCAAGCAAATTCTTGCTGATGATTATAAAAAAAAATCACTGTATCAGTACATCAACAACAGAGAATTGCCAGAGATGTATGCTGCAATTAGAAGAGGCAATGGCACTAGGGACATTATAACCAATTTTAGATGGATCTTAGCTGAAAGCAGATTTTACCAGAGAAATATCTATCTGTGCTTCATTGACTAGGCACAGTCATGTGACTGTGCAGATTACAACAAACTGAGGATAACCTTGAAAAGAATGGAAATCCCAGAACACCTTATTGTGCTCATGCAAAGCCTATACTTTTACCAGGATGCAGTCATCTGAACAGAGCAAGGAAACACTGCATGGTTCAAAATCAGGAAAGGTGTACATCAGAGATGCATACTGTATCCATACTTTTCAGAGCTATATGTAGAATAGATCATTTGGGAGGTTGGACTTTATGAGGAAGAATGTGGCATCAAAATTAGAGGAAGACTCATCAACAACCTTCAATATGCAGATGACACTCCTTGCTTTTTAAAACTGAGGAGGACTGAGGTGCTTTCTATACAAGGTCAATTTGGATTGAAACTCAACATGAAGAAAACAAAGATTCTTACTCCTGGGCCAATTGGTAGCAGTATCATAGATGAAGATATATTGAGGCTTTTGATCATTTCAGCTTACATGGTTCCATAATCAACACTGTTGGTACTGGCAGTCAGGAAATCAGAAGGTGATTTGCCTTAGGAAAATGTACTGTCAGAGACCTATCCTGGTGCTGAAGAGCAACAATATCAGTCTAGAGACTAAGGTGTGCCTGATTCAAGTCATGGTATTCACAATTACTTTATATCCATCAAAGATTTGGAAAAGAATGAAGAATAATAGAAGAAGACTCAATACTTGTGAGCTATAGTACAGGAGAAGAGTGTTGAACATACCATGGACTGCCAAAAGAACAAAGAAGTCTTTCCTGGACAAGGTGAAAATAAAGTTACTCCTTGGGAGCAAGGAATTTGAAGCCCTGTCCCATATTTTGGGTAGATTGTCATGAGTGACCATTCCTTGGAGTAGGACATAAAGCTTGGAAAGGTGGAGGGACAGAGCAAGAGAGGACAACCAGGAACTTGAATAGTAGGGGTAGGTGTGTCAAAGACAGTGAGATTGGCTCAGGATAGGGCAGAGTTCAGAGCTATTGTACACAAGGTTGCTATAATTCACACATGACTCAATATAACAACAAAACAACTAAAAGTGTACATATCAGCATCCATTAATTTCATATATAGGAAAGCACTTAAAATCTTTTCTAACAGAATTTGGAAAATCTGGTGAGTTTCTTGTGAAAATTATAAAATTTCTAATACTTTTTATGAAACACAGATATATGGTTACTTTCAGTGTTGTGATGATAGTTGCTTTGTATTTTGTATTAATTATAAATAATGTTCAGATTTCTAAAATGCATTTTTTTATTCAGCCAGAAAGCCTCATCATTACCTCCTATTGTAGGATCCAGAAGGTCTAAAGGGAATGTAAGTATCAGATGCTTTATCTATTTATGTTCTATATTTCTTAATTATACAGAGATAAGCTTTAATTGAATTTGCAGAAATAAAAATATTTGCCTTTGGTATATAAGCAATCATATAAAACAAAGTTTTACGTTTTAGTGTTGCCATAAAGGTGCTAAACAGAGAAATAATATTTTAAAATATGGGTTTCAAAATAGATTACTTTCCCCATATGTATTCT